TGAGTGTAATTGGACAGAATTGTTGCTAGGCAGGGAAGTAAATGAAATGTATGCCAAATTTTTAAAACTATACGAGGAAGGCACACAAACATTCATACCAAAACAGAGATGCAGGACCAGAAAACAGGATTGGTTCGACAGAAATTGTGAGAGGGCAAGAGACCAAAAGACACAAAAATGGAATCAGTATAGGAAGAGGCCAAACCCCCAAACATATCAGCGATACAAAGATGCGAGAAACAATTATACAGCAGTAAGGAGAGAGGCAGAAAGAAATTTTGAAAAAGGGATAGCAGATAAATGTAAAACAGAACCGGGCCTATTCTACAAATTCATAAACAACAAATTGCAGGTAAAGGATAATATCCAGAGGTTGGAAATGGGAAACAGATTCACGGAAAATGAAAAGGAAATGTGTGAAACATTAAATGAAAAGTTCCAAAGTGTGTTTGTACAAAATGAAATCTTCAGAGAACCAGACACAATAAGAATTCCAGAGAACAACATAGAGCGGATAGAGGTGTCTAGAGATGAAGTGGAAAATATGCTAAAGGAGCTCGGGAGGAACAAAGCAGCTGGCCCAGATGGCGTTTCACCATGGGTTCTGAGAGAATGTGCATCTGAGCTCAGCATTCCACTTCACCTGATCTTTCAGGCATCCCTGTGTACAGGAATCGTAGCAGACGTGTGGAAACAGGCTAACATAGTTCCAATCTACAAAAGTGGCAGCAGGGAAGACCCCCTCAATTATAGACCTGTATCATTGACAAGTGTAATAGTGAAAGTATTGGAAAAGCTAATCAAAACTAAATGGGTAGAACACCTGGAGAGAAATGATATAATATCAGACAGACAGTATGGTTTTCGATCAGGAAGATCCTGTGTATCGAATTTACTCAGTTTCTATGATCGGGCCACAGAGATATTACAGGAAAGAGATGGCTGGGTTGACTGCATCTATCTGGACCTAAAAAAGGCTTTCGACAGAGTTCCACATAAGAGGTTGTTCTGGAAACTGGAAAATATTGGAGGGGTGACAGGTAAGCTTCTATCATGGATGAAAAATTTTCTGACTGATAGAAAAATGAGGGCAGTAATCAGAGGCAATGTATCGGAATGGAGAAATGTCACAAGTGGAGTACCACAGGGTTCAGTTCTTGCACCAGTGATGTTTATTGTGTACATAAATGATCTACCAGTTGGTATACAGAATTATATGAACATGTTTGCTGATGATGCTAAGATAATAGGAAGGATAAGAAATTTAGATGATTGTCATGCCCTTCAAGAAGACCTGGACAAAATAAGTATATGGAGCACCACTTGGCAAATGGAATTTAATGTTAATAAATGTCATGTTATGGAATGTGGAATAGGAGAACATAGACCCCACACAACCTATATATTATGTGAGAAATCTTTAAAGAATTCTGATAAAGAAAGAGATCTAGGAGTGGTTCTAGATAGAAAACTATCACCTGAGGACCACATTAAGAATATTGTGCAAGGAGCCTATGCAATGCTTTCTAACTTCAGAATTGCATTTAAATACATGGATGGCGATATACTAAAGAAATTGTTCATGACTTTTGTTAGGCCAAAGCTAGAATATGCAGCTGTTGTGTGGTGCCCATATCTTAAGAAGCACATCAACAAACTGGAAAAGGTGCAAAGACATGCTACTAAGTGGCTCCCAGAACTGAAGGGCAAGAGCTACGAGGAGAGGTTAGAAGCATTAAATATGTCAAAACTAGAAGACAGAAGAAAAAGAGGTGATATGATCACTACGTACAAAATAGTAACAGGAATTGATAAAATCGACAGGGAAGACTTCCTGAGACCTGGAACTTCAAGAACAAGAGGCCATAGCTTTAAACTAGCTAAACACAGATGCCGAAGAAATATAAGAAAATTCACCTTCGCAAATAGAGTGGTAGACGGTTGGAACAAGTTAAGTGAGAAGGTGGTGGAGGCCAAGACCGTCAGTAGTTTCAAAGCGTTATATGACAAAGAGTGCTGGGAAGACGGGACACCACGAGCGTAGCTCTCATCCTGTAACTACACTTAGGTAATTACACTTAGGTAATTACAGCGTACACATGTCCACACACCCCCACACACACACAGCATACACATGTCCACACACCCACACACACACAGCGTACACATGTCCACACACACCCACACCCACACACGTACACATGTGCACACACCCACACACACAGTGTACACATGTGCACACACCCACACACACAGCGTACACATGTGCACACACACAGCAAACACATGTGCACACACACAGCATACACATGTGCACACACACAGCATACACATGTGCACACACACAGCATACACATGTGCACACACACAGCATACACATGTGCACACACACAGCATACACATGTGCACACACAAAGCACACACATGTGCACACACACAGCATACACATACATTTTAAAAGAAAGGTACAAGTCGCCGACCAGTGGGCAGAGAGTACCACGCCGGCCAGGCAAAACAGACACAAAACTGCATCAAAAGGCCCACCTCAACAACAAAACCTCAAAGTCCCAGCACGACCACAACACGTGCGAAGACCCAAAAAGATCAGTCTGCAAGCCAGGAAGACCCTGGAACTCCAGAAGGCAGAACCGGGTCACACGAGGAAACAAAGCCCCTTGAACCCACAAAGGGGGCCCAAGAGGAAGAAACCTCTGGAACAAAACCAAAGAAACCCAAAATCGAACCAGGGGGAGCCCAAACCACCACATTTGCCGGCGGAGAACACCACAAAGGCAAAGCACAGCCCTCAGACAGAACCCCCAGGGAAATAGTCAAAACAGATCGAAAACCGAGGGACAAGGTGTGGGAGCAAGCATAACAGCCAGGGACACTGAGCCCAAACCCAAGGGCCCAGACCCAAAATAGACAAAAAGGGAAATCCGGTGTAAAATCAACACCCAAACAATCTCAGAGGAACAGGAAATGGGCAGATAACACCAGAAAAGCAAAGAAACGACAACAGGAGAATAAAACCCCCTGAAAAAACGTGAAAACTCGCCCAAGAAGCTCGCTTGCACACCCAGACGCCTGTAAACAAGCCGCAACGCCGCCCTGGTGGCCACGCCAGTAAACCGGCAGATGAAAATGGCTGCCAGACAGAGGGCTGTGACCGACGCTAAAGATACGAAAACACGCCAGCAAAAGTGGGAAGCAAGCAGACTGGATGGGTGATAAACTGCCGAAAAGCAGAAAACCCAGGCAGGGGCAAACCGCCCCAGAACTGCTAGCAAGCATCCCCCACAGCCCCGGGAACCAGCAACAGAGGCCCCGGGGCAGAGCCGTGCCTCCAAGCCCTCCGCCCTTAAAGAAAAGCAAGAGTCCATGGGAAAGGCAGAAAGAAAGAGCCGCTGGTAAGACCCAGAAGCCTTGGCAGGAGGAACAGGCTTGAAAACCTCCGTCCCCCAACCCGAAACGGGCCAGCCCCCGAAAACCACCCGTGTCTCGGCCCCAACTAAACCCCGACCCGACCCCGAAACCCACAGACAGTCCGGAGCCGGGTACAGGGAGGGAAAGGGGCGAACAGCACCTAACCAAAACAGGGTGGCCTCAGGGCATCTGAGTGGGAAACCAACCTAGCATGTTGCAGCAACCTGAAAACCCCTGCGACATGTACAATCACGGGGGCCTAGCAGAGGGCCGCCAAACACTACCAGTGGAACTATAGCCACACCAGGCAGACCCCCACCAGGCATAAAAATAAAAACAAAAGAAAAACCCCACAAAAGTACACCATCTCCAGAGGCAACAGGAACCGGTCGCCGCTTAGGGGGCAGGCTATGCAACACCTTGACGCCCTAACCAGCACAATACCAATCCCTACCCAGGGCCAAACAAGGGCCCCCAGCCCCAGTTGGCCCCAAGGGCGAGGCAAATGCCGAGCAGCAAGAACCTCTACGGGAATGGTTCCCGAACGCCCCAGGGAAGATAACCCTGTTACGCAAGGGCAGTACTCACTGGGCGCTTAGGGAAGTCGGCCACTAAGCGCATGCAGCCCCGGCACTGATGAGGTACTCCTGGCCACCGCACAACACAACACACGGCAGTGAACGCCACACAAGGCAAACACCGCCTAGGAAACTGAGGCCAGAGAAGCGTCTGTCCCGGTTGACATTAGCGAACGAACTGAAGCTTGGCAGCCGGCGCAGTAGGTCCGGGGCTCCCCCTCCCCCTCTCGGGGTGGGGAGGGCTGTGCGGATGATCGGTGGGGCAGTAAAGTGTGATGTTTGCTTGTTTGCTTGTTTCCTTGCGATTGTAGGGAGTTTCTACCTCTGTTCGGTTTTTTGTTTTAGTTTTTTACCCTGTGGGGTTTGTTATGCCTACCTTTTTGGGTGCCTAACCTCGGTCGATGGCAGATAAGAAAACCCCAACCACAAAGGGGTTTGCCATGGCCATTGCTCCCTGAAACCTCTCTGAAGGGGCCAGGTTCTGGCGCTGGTCCCTGGTAGGTCTGAACTCCTTAGCTAATGTCCCAGTCTAATATAACATACATTAGCCCGATAAGCTCCAGGGAGCCGTAGGGGCTCCCCACAGAAAACTATTTTAAGATTCACACAAAGTAAACAAACAAAGCAGCAACCAATTCAAAACTGTCTATCCAGTAGCGAGGTCATACACTCATTAACAGTTGAGCACCACTTGGTGGCAGACCCATAGAAGCTGCCAGCTATCAATGTCATCACCACCACCAACACCTGGGAAACAGGAAATGAGTCCAGGAAGGACATCCCCTCCCCCTCCTCACCAAAAAGAGGAGTTGCATTACACTCAATGATGGTAGTCACTAAAATGAGCACTTCTGCAGCAACTGCTGCTAGCCATCTACAATGGCTGTCATTAAGAAATTTTACAGAAAAGGATACTAGTATTTCAGTACATATCAATTATAAACACAGTATACAATGAAATTTCTGTTCACAAATTGCCATAACCTCAAGACATACCTTAAAAAACCAATGTCTTGAATGCTCAGAGTTTGATTGTGCCAGATCAAAAAGCTCCACAGTGGTTGGGTTTCGCTGTACTCTCGTCTTGAACAGTTCTGTGTAGTAATCTATATCCCATTTATCAAAAGCCAGACCTGTAATCAAAGATGGACTCATTTATACTGAATAAGCAAAGTTTAAGCAAGATGATAATGAAAACGTTAATACATTGTCCATTTTATGATGGCTTCTATACTGGTAATGTGCAAGATGAACTACAAAAGCAACTGTACACTGACATGTAATCAGATGAGCAAAATTTGTCACTGTAGAATGGGGGGGGGGATGAATTGTGGGGGATCCCTTTCAACACTAACACCTTAACATGTGCAGTAATTATCTTTTGTATAATAATAATAATAATAATAATAATAATAATAATAATAATAATAAATAATTTATTTAGGAAAAGTACATGTATAGATGCAGAGTTACAAACATACTGTTGGATTTAGAAATAGAGCTAGTACATATAATACCTAAAGCCACTAATACGCATAGCATTTCAAGCAAGCGTTTGTGTATAGAAGAAACGTTTATAAAAGCACAGAACAAATGCACAAGTGTTAAGTAAAGAAAAATGGGTAAATCTGGGAGGCAGATCACCTCCCACTATAGCACCATCTCACTACCTATGAGGCTTCATGGCTACCACAGATCACCTCCCACTATAGCACCATCTCACTACCTATGAGGCTTCATGGCTACCACAGATCACCTCCCACTATAGCACCATCTCACTACCTATGAGGCTTCATGGCTACCACAGATCACCTCCCACTATAGCACCATCTCACTACCTATGAGGCTTCATGGCTACCACAGATCACCTCCCACTATAGCACCATCTCACTACCTATGAGGCTTCATGGCTACCACAGATCACCTCCCACTATAGCACCATCTCACTACCTATGAGGCTTCATGGCTACCACAGATCACCTCCCACTATAGCACCATCTCACTACCTACGAGGCTTCATGGCTACCACAGATCACCTCCCACTATAGCACCATCTCACTACCTATGAGGCTTCATGGCTACCACAGATCACCTCCCACTATAGCACCATCTCACTACCTATGAGGCTTCATGGCTACCACAGATCACCTCCCACTATAGCACCATCTCACTACCTACGAGGCTTCATGGCTACCACAGATCACCTCCCACTATAGCACCATCTCACTACCTATGAGGCTTCATGGCTACCACATCCAACATCTAAGAACCAAAGCAGGTTGCCAAGGTGATGGTACAAACTGTTTCCTGTTAAAAGAAACCCATAGTTTTATAATCAATACAAAAAAAAATCAGCGTTGAATGTAATGAAACGCCATTTTCTGGGCGAGTCCCGGAGGCTCCCCCAAAGCTATCCCAGGCTGATATGCTAATGTCAGACTTTGGCATCAGTCATGTGTATGGAGTTCTTAGGCCTACCGGGGACCACAGCCAGAACTGGGCCCCCTCAGAGAGGCAAGGGAAGCAATGGCCTATAGAAACCCCCATGTGGTTGGAAGCATTCTATGTCTGTCATCGACCGGAACAGGCACCCAGAAAGGTAAGCGCTTCAAAACAAACCCCTATTCTGGTTAAAATTGCTACCAAAAGCCGAACTAGTGGATAGAACTCCCCAACAGAAAACAAGCAAACTAGTGCGATGTCACACGCCGCTGCGCCGCTGTCTGCGCAGCTCCCCCCTCCCCGGGAGGAGGAGGGGGGAGCCCCAGACCCTCCACGCCGGCTACCCACACCTCGGTTCTTGAGGCTGGATGTTAAAAACACAAAAAAAAACGCCGACCGGATGGAGGGAGGGATGTCGGGGAGCCTCCGGGACTCGCCCAGAAAATGGCGTTTCATTACATTCAACCCTGGTTTTCTGGGGGGAGCCCCGTTGGCTCCCCGGAGCTAACTACCCACAGACGGAAAAAGAGGGACTTGCCCGGGAGGCAGTCGTCACTCACTCCTCAACTCGAAGCCGAGACAACTGGCTGCAACCACCGACCCAAAGCAACACAGGCCCGACGGGGCCCAGGGACATTCACAAGGTAACGAGCAGCCAGGACCCTGTTCGACCGCCAAAATCCCCGCGCCCGAATATCAGACCAAGACATATTCCCAAAGACGGCAGCAAGAGCCGCGAACTTACGAACGTCATGGGCACGGAGATAGACCGCAGGCTGGCTGGACTTAATAACCCTGTGGACGACCTGGGAGACCCGAACCCGCGAACAGGGAAGAAGGTTAACCGGATCAACCCACAGCGCGTCCCCGGACACAGATGCCGTGGCGCGCAAATAACGGCGAAGCGCCGCAACCGAACACAAAACATGATGCACCCCCAGCCTGACCAACCAAGCATCAACCACCCATGGACCCCTCTGGAACACAGCAGTCTCATTCTTCACCAGAAAAGGAGACGGCTGCAAGCGAACAAAACAATCACCACGACCAAAAGAGCAGAAACCCCTGCGCCGGAGGAGAGCGTGAAGCTCCCCTACCCAACCCCCAGAGGCCAAAGCCAACAAGAAAGGTGCCTTGGAAAAACAATCCTGGACCGAAGGGGCCACAACGAAACGAGGAGACGAAAGGAAAGCGAGCACTGCCCAAAGATCAAGACGGCTCAGGCGACGCATGAGAAGGCCGGAGGTGAAACAATGCACGAGACAGCTTGCGAAACGGCGCAGACGTAACATTGATACCAAAGGCAAGCTGAAGCGGCTCCACCAATGCCGCACGATACGAGGCGACAGTGTTAGGCATAAGATGACGGTCCTGAAACAACCACAAGAGGAAGGACAAGACCACCCAAACAGACAAGGAACTAACACGACGAAGACGCAAAAAGAAACAGAAGGACCACCAGGAAACTTCATACTGCCGCCGAGAAGAAGCCCTCAGGTGGGACACCAACAAGGAGGCCACCTGATCACCACAGAGATGATGATAGACTAGTCAAAAAAACCCATACGCGAAGACTCGAGGAGAAGATCGAACCAGCCACGTGACGTACTGGCCCGATCTGCTGAAAGAGGTGGAGCCGCGGGAAAACCCTCGGGTTCGGACACCGAGCAACCAGCGCCTGAAACCAAGGCTGGGCCGGCCAAGGGCCAGAAGGACAACTCTCCCCTGGTAAGTCTCTAAGCGAGTCAGGACCTGGAGCAACAGCCGAACTGGGGGAAAGAGGTACAGGAACCCCCACCTCGACCAGTCTAGCCGAAAGGCGTCGACCCCGACAGCCTCGCGATCGGGGAAGGGCGCCGCGACCACGCCGACACGAAGAGATCCACCTCGGGGCGTCCGACCGTCTGGCAAAGCCAATGGAAGGACTCGTCGTCGACCGTACACTCCGTGGAGAGGGAACGAAGCGAGACAGGGCGTCGGCCAAGACGTTGGACACGCCCTGTACGTGAACCGCCAGGAGAGCCAAACCCCGAGAACTCAGCAGACGAGTCACCCGAAGAGACCAACCCCAAAGAGACAAGGACCGCATCGAACCCCCGCAGTTCAGGCAATGAACCACCGGAGAGCAGTCCGAATGGAGCCGAATCGTCGATCCGCGGGCCACCCGAATCCTCCCCAGAGCAAACCACACTGCCGCGAACTCCCGCACCATGCTGTGAGCTCGATGGAAGGATGGATCCCAACGCCCCTGGCCGGCCTGGTGAGCACTGGTCACAAAACCCCAGCCGAGAGACGACGCATCCGTGTACACATCGAGCGAGGGCTCGGGCAGGCGTCAAGGCACAGAACCCCGAAAACCCCGAAGAGGAAGCCGGTGACGCAGCAACTGACGCAAGGCCCCCGGGGGTCGAACTCTGCGATCGCGAGAGGCGGAAGGAGGAACCCCGAAGGAACCAGAACAGCCGTCGAAGCCAAACCCGACCCGGCGGGTAGACCACCATCGTGAAGTTCAGGCTCCCGCACAGCCCCTCGAGCAACCGCCAGGTGACCCAAGGGCCCTCCAGAAACAGACGAAGGCGGGACCGCAGCCGCAGGAGAGACTCCTGAGCGAGAGACAAGGAGGCAGTTCGAGAGTCCCAAACGAGACCCAGTCAAGTCCGAACCTGAGAGGGAACCAGATGGGACTTCCTCCAGTTCACCAAGAACCCGAACCTGGCGAGCTGGGAAAGAACCAAATCCCTGGCTAGCAAGCAAGCTGACTGGCTGGGAGCCCAAAGCAGCCAGTCGTCGAGGTAGGCCAACACCCGAACACCTAGGAGACGCAAACGAGCCACCACAACCCGTGTAAGGCGCGTGAACACGCGAGGTGCCAGGTTCAACCCGAACGGGAGACAACGAAAGCGGTAACTCAGACGCCCCACAACAAAACCGAGCCAGTCCCTGAACCGTGGATGAATCGGGACATGCCAATAAGCGTCCCGGAGGTCCAGGGACACCATCCAAGCTCCCGGCTCCAAGAGGAGCCGAACCTGAGACAGCGTAGTCATCCGAAAGGAGGGGCAATGAACCCAGGGGTTCAGACGGGACAAGTCCAGAATGAACCGCAGGTCCGCGCAGTCCCGTTTCGGAACCGGAAACAGACGGGTAACCCATCTGAGGGACAATGTTGTTTCGACGACGCCCAAGCGTACCCACTCCAAGACGACTCGACAGAGCGCAGGGGAAGAAACCTGCTCTGCCAGCCCCGACCCCCCTAAGGGGGGAGGGGCCACCCAACGCCACCGCGAGACACGACCCGAAAGGCCCACGAATCGTGGGACCAGGCACGAGTGAACAGTGCAAGCCGCCCCCCCATCGCTTGGGGGGGCGGCTTGCACTGTTCCAGCTCCACGTGGCTTGGAGCTCGGTGGAGCACTCGCCCCAGGGATGCCCTTCGTTTCCTCCCCACCCCTCCCAGGCGTCTTCCCTGGAACCCGGTATGTTGCGTCTCCTAGGCTTGCCCCTAGGGGCCAGGGTTCGTGACGCGCTCGGTCGTGCGTGTCCTGCCAGGCTCCCTGCAAGCGTCCTGGCGTCACCCTTGGTGGCAACGCCTCCTGGATGGGTTATTCAGTTGTCTTTGTCCCTAGGGCCCGACCCTAGGGGCCCACGCCAAGGTCGGCATCACCCACGTGGCATGGCGCTCCGTGGAGCG